AATAGATATCAATTTTTTTTCAGTAACAGGAAAAAATCTGGTCATTCAGAAATTCAGAAAGTATTCATGAAGTTATAAATTCATGTTGATAAATCAATATAGCTTATATATAAAACCATTTACTAGTATATTATCCAGCATAGAGAGCTATAATCCTTTCACGGTGTCTTTGGGTATATTGTCCACACATGACTGAACACTATGATGACATATTGTCATTTACAATCAAACATGGCCTCCAGATCCTACTGTCCAAACCACTGATTCTGATAAGGTCAGACCTCACTTGACAAAGAGCGTGTAGAAATCTGGCAAGTCTTTACCCATGAATCACTGTGATGATATCTATTCAAGGTTAAAAGATACGGTCTCGTCTCAGTGTGGGGACAGTGGAAAATTCATTGAAGAAAACGAACCATGGAAAACAAGAATGTTTGAGAACATTTGAGACCCGCATGGTAATGGGGCATTTCAGAGCTAATCCATTTGGTGTTTTGGTTGTAGCATCCATCACAAAGTTTCTTGCTGGTTTTGTTTCATACATTCCTTGTTTAAAGCAGGGAACAATGTCTTTATCATAAAACTATTACTCATACTTGAAGAATGTGGTAGAACAATATCCCCATCTCGGTTGCTATATATATGCTCAGCATATGGTTGTGTTTAAGTACCATAAATCATTTTATATTGTCTGCTTGAAATGTTTTAATCTCATATGTTGGTAGATTCTTTTAAGGGTATTTTAATGCAAAGGAAAAAACAAATAAATTGTTCTCATATAAGTTGCACCTGCAGGGAGTTTGAGTTTAAAAAGCTCAAATGTTGAGTTGATTTAACAAGTGTTGGTATTTATAATAAGAAGGGGTGCTGTAGTGGGAAGATGTGACATAATGTAGAAGTTTAGGGTACATGTCTAGCACAGTGGGTGTCTGGTGCCTTTGGGGTGGAGCAGTGGTGGTGTGTGTGTGTTTTGGGGGGTAAGAAGCTGTGAAGTACTTGTGTTTGCATGCCTGCGTGTGTGTGAGAGAAAGAGAGAGAGAGAGAGAGAGAGAGAGAGAGAGAGAGAGAGAGAGAGAGAGAGAGAGAGAGAGAGAGACAGAGAGAGAGAGAGAGACAGAGACAGAGAGACAGAGAGACAGAGAGAGACAGAGAGAGGGAGATGTGTGTGTGTGCGAATTTTTGGGGAGGATGGAGTGGGAAGGTAATGATAGGTGATGTATGTAGTAGAGAGGATGTTGGACAAGGAGCATGCATCAAAGGAGGCAAAGATGCAGTACTGTAGTTGAAGTGCAGTGGGATGGGTTGGGGTGGTGTACAGGGGAGTACACAATCAGGCAGCAGACAAGTTTAGACAGGATTTAATCAGGGCAGGTGAAAATGTTCAGGTGAGGTGTGGATTGTGTCATACTTACTGTTCATCACACAGGTTCACCTCTAACTTCAACACACACACATCATATAAGCTAAACAATTCTGACAACCAAGTGTAGCATATAATTATCTCAAGCCAAGCATGGAAACCAAGTGTTCCCCAACTGCTTCACTAATCTTGATCATGTCTGTTCACAGTCTAGTAGACAATGATTGTGCTTTCTAGATAAGTCAGTCACCTTAAGGGCCTGTGTTCCAGTATTTTATCAATAGGTTGTTCTCAACCATGCATCAGGTATAATGCATCAAGCACTTTTTGCAGCCATTGACACACTGTCCCAAATCCTCATGGTAGCAGTGCTATTACAGCTTCACTATGAAGGACTAGCAAGTCTATAAAATATTGAAATATGGGTCAGGTCCATATCTGTGTCCATATGTTGGATCTAGTGATGGAATGTATGGATTTACGCTCTCAAACTATTGTAGGGATCGAATCTACTCGGCTGCACTTGTAGGCCATTGTCACATTATCAGTATCAGATGGTTCTATTGGTTCGTTGCCTTGGCTGTTCAGGTTTCAGGAATTTCTATCTCAGAGTTTTATAAAGTAAATTCAGTCATTGATATTTTATGTTGGCAAATTTAAGTCTATTTGTTTGATTTTGAGGGAAATTGAATGATTTCAAGGTGTGGTAAATTTGGTTAAGACCAAATAGTATTTCAATTATATTGTTTACTTCATGTCAGCACAATATTAATATGGGTGGGGTTTGTGTCTGCGTAAACATCTGACAACCTATGTGAAGATCTGACGACCTATGTGAAGATCTGACAACATAAATATGTGAAGATCTGACGACCTATGTGAAGATCTGACAACCTATGTGAAAATCTGACGACCTATGTGAAGATCTGACAACCTGTGTGAAGATCTGACAACATATGTGAAGATCTGACAACCTATGTGAAGATCTGACAACCTATGTGAAGATCTGACGACCTGTGTGAAGATCTGACAACCTATGTGAAGATCTGACAACCTATGTGAAGATCTGATGACCTATGTGAAGATCTGACAACCTATGTGAAGATCTGACAACCTCTGTGAAGATCTGACAACACCTCTGTGTGTCAGATCTGACAACACCTATGTGAAGATCTGACAACCTATGTGTGAAGATCTGACAACCCTCTGTGTGAAGATCTGACAACCCTATGTGAAGATCTGACAACACCTCTCTGTGTCAAGATCTGACAACCTATGTGTGAAGATCTGACAACACCTGTGTGTCAAGATCTGACAACCTATGTGAAGATCTGACAACACCTGTGTGAAGATCTGACAACCTGTGTGAAGATCTGACAACCTATGTGAAGATCTGACAACCTGTGTGAAGATCTGACAACCTATGTGAAGATCTGACAACCTATGTGAAGATCTGACGACCTGTGTGAAGATCTGACGACCTATGTGAAGATCTGACAACCTATGTGAAGATCTGACAACCTATGTGAAGATCTGACAAACTTCTGAGAACAGACGAAATTCCCAGCCAAGAAAATGACATCAGATGAACTTTATAATCAGCCAATCAGTGTCAAGTTTTATTTTACTAGCATCAAAGCAAAGGATTCTGAGAATGTTTCAAAACACAATCTTAACTGACCAGTTCTGAATGCAACAGAAAGACACATGGTCATATTGTGGATACATCATGCACCATGTCACTACTTCTGAGCACCATGGCATCTACAACCCAAATATTACAAATCAAGGAAACTTTGTTGTTCTGTATGAGTAACCTTGAATAAAAATATAAATTTTATGTCAGAATGGTAAAGAACTGAAGCCAAACTAGTTTAGAAAGCTGAAAATTGATTGGCTCCAGAACCTATGAATCCTTCATTAAGAAAACAATTAACTAAATGAAGATAAAGGATGAAATTGCAACCTTGCTACTGACACTGCAGCACTAACGGACTTATGAAGAACTAACAACTCATCAAAATTGAAGATAATTTTAATCAATAGTCAAATGCTGTATTGCTCAAAGCGGTTGGTACTGTTTCTTTTGTAGTCAACTTGTTCTTAGAAGCAATTATTGATAAAAACCGTGATCGATTTTAAGAATGCCAATAGTTGATCAATAGAACATGCTACAACCTGTTTAATATTTTCCCTCCAAAGATGCTGCTACTTGGCCAGCTTGTATACATGTATACCGCTCAATGAGACAAAGGATTTCTAAATATCTATTTCAGGAATTATTTCAGACTGTATTTTCAACTATATGAAAATGCATACATTTCATTTTTTCCTCAATTTGGCAAGACAAATTTTATACACTTCTTCTGCAGATATGTTCATCAGGTTTTGGTCATTTTCTATTATAAAACCTCAGAATTTTGTTTGGAAATGCACTTCTAAACAATTGATACAAATATTCTGCGGGGGATAATTCTGAATGGGTGTGTACAGCTATTGGTTTACAAATGGGGTGCAATTCAGATACTGAATTGACACATCCTATGTTTCATTTCAAGCAATAATTCAACAACTGTAAACTTGTACATGTGTGCAATGCATTAACAGATTTCAGCAGTATCACAATAGGTGCTGCATCGTTTAAACAGCAGGTGTTTGTCTTGAGACGCTGATTGCAAAGTAGTTAATCTGTGCTGCAAACAGGTTTCATTTCTCTCCCCGAACGACGACAAAATGAGGCCTGAGTTCATTCAAACGCACAATTCTGAACAATGACACTCAACTCAAGATATAGACACTTTAAGAACTTTAAGAAACATGAGAATCAAAACATATACAAATGTTTACTCTTTTCTCGCATGAAACTTATCCCAAATAGCATGCTATTTGTATGACAACATCTTCAAACAATTAGGCAGACTTAGTCCCCACCTGTATATTCAAAACGTCCCTATCAGTTGTTAAATACTATTTCTGTGTCTCGTAAACTTTGTACAAAATGTACAGTTACATTGACAGCTGTTGATTGAAATGGAGGTTTACATTTAATTTCATTATGACAGACTACGACGTGTTTCTTCCCGTCAACTAGGACACAGCAGTATCATGCAGCTGAGCTGCTCTGTGTGAATGCTGCTGAAATATTCCTAAAAAATTTGAACAACAGAATTTCTGAATATTTCCATTATTATTATTTCAGGGAAAAGGAGTAATTTGCACATAGAAGATATATATATTTTGCCATCTCACATTGAATTAAATTTGCAGCCTAACCATTTCAGATATAAATATCATTCATATATACCTCTTTGTATTTAGTAGATGTAAAATGTTACATATTCAAGACAAACACACAAACGAACATAAACAAATAAGAGAAAATATGTAAAAATATCAATATATTCTCAGTTCCTGATAGTTTGTATAAACAGTTTACATATTGAATAAAGAAATGATAATAAAAATTGAAAATAGATATTAAGTTCAATAAATATGATAGCACCATTCTGTCAGGTAAAACAGTTTTTGCAGACTTTTACAGACAACCAAATGTCACTAATTGCTTCCCACGGTTACAGTTCATGAGCACAATGACATGTCTAATCGATTATAATTTACGTCATCCTCATTGATTACTTACCAGCCTCAGCAGCTGATATATCGGGTTGGTTGTCGCTGAATGCTGGGTTAACATGGCCGTCATGCTCGGGAGACGTTCGGTCCTCTGATAATCCACTAGAATTTACTTTCCGTGTTTTCTTTGGACCAGATTTAAAAACTGAAAAAGAAAGAAAGCATAAATATTTGTGCTATTTTGTTTTTTTCCTTTGAAAGAATTCAATTTTGGTTGAAGCATGATTCAGAAAGTGAATACTGGAGACTGAAATACAAGATTATTTATTTATCCACAAACAAACAATGCATATGTGATACATAGGGGATTGTGTGTGCCTGTATGGAAGGATCCTGAGGTGGGGTGTTGGGTGGAGGGTTGCGTACGGAGTAGGGTAGGGGATTGGGTGGAGGGTTGGGTAGGGAGTAGCGTGGGGGGTTGGGTGGAGGGCTTGGGTGGAGGGTTGAGTAGGGGAGTAGGGTAGGGGATTGGGTGGAGGGTTGGGTAGGGAGTAGCCGTGGGGGGTTGGGTAGGGGTGGGTAGGGAGTAGGGTAGGGGGTTGGGTAGGGTAGGGGGTTGGGTGGAAGATAGGGTAGGGGGTAGGGGTAGGGTAGGGGGTTGGGTGGAGGGTTGGGTAGGGAGTAGGGTAGGTGATTGGGTGGAGGGTTGGGTAGGGAGTAGGATAGGGGTTGGGTAGGGAGTAGGATAGGGGGTTGGGTGGAAGATAGGGTAGGGGGTAGGGTAGGGGTAGGGTAGGGGTAGGGTAGGGGGTTGGGTTGTCTCATTTTGATGGATACATTACACTCTACCAGTAAACTCCACAGCAAAAACTCAGAAAGATGTGAATAGGATTCTACTTATACCAATAACTAACAATGGTTAAACCACTGGTAATTTTGAATATCATGTAAGGAGGAGTTTAAACTTGTGGTCAACACTATGAGCATTATTGGATTAATTCATACACCAGTGGAGCCAGGTCAGGGTTGGAGCTCGGCCTCTGCAGCATACTTCCTGACCCCACTAAGACTTGAACTGAGCGATACAGGGGCAATCATTTACATATTTCAGTCAACGTGGAGTCATAAACATAAGTCCATAAACCATATTTGTCTGAAGTATAACACAATGTGTGTTGTTACGTCTACATTATGAACACCCGAGGCATAGTGTAGAAATCGTAACCTCATCCTTTGCAGACATATGTAGCTTTGAAGTTTAATTTGCATAAAATGAAATACATGTGCTTTAAATGCAAAATTACTGAAAATGAACAAAACCTTCTACAGACATATTTTCTCTTAAATGTTTTTGTAAAGATTTCAACAGAATATGTTTTCAAATGTGTTTGGCTTTTCAGGAAACTCAACACTTTCTAAATATTTTAGAAAACATGACACCAGCATGTGCATAGCAAGAGATAAAATCAGATATACGATTGGAGTTGATGTGCACATGTACTTAGGTGATTAAAAAAAAACAAATAAATACTTTTTATTTGTATTGTTGGCACATGTTGCATAGTGCAGTTTGTAATACAATACTAAATGCACTGTTATTTCTATAGCTTTATTGATCGCTACACTTCTGTGACAACAGGGTCACTATGAGGTATGCATCACTCGTTGAAAGATTGTAGATATCATATGTCTGTCACCTCCAATATCACCTTCAGAGTGAAACAGAAATGTAGTCCTATCTTATTAACTCTGTCTGACACAAATGGTCAAATACTTTCATCCTGTATTGAAATATTTGTTTGACATATCGCATATACGAGTTTAGATTTTACGACGCTTTTAGCAATATTCCAGCAATATCACGCGGGGAACAACAGAAATGATATCGCCTATAGAGTCATGTAACCATTTGTTGTTTTACTAAATTCTTTGGTTGTTTCTGTAACTGCTGTTGTTTTGCTGCTTCTGTTGTGTACCTTACTCCTAATGTTGTTTTACTAAAAGCTTATGTAGGTGTTCATCCTCCATTGAGGCGGGATCTGCTCACCTTTTGTGAAACATCTGGCGTCAACACCTACACAAAGTGATGCACAACACATGCTAATGATATAGTCGGATTCACAAAACAGACCCATGGAATTATTAGCAGAATTTCTTTCAGATCATAGAAATTGTTAAGTCGCTTTTATATACCAACAATCTGTTGTCTTTGTCTAAATGTAAATGTGAAGTAACTGGACATTACTATTTCCCCTTACAGATTCTGTTTTTAAAACTGGCTTAAAAGAACCTTGCAGTTCTGTCAAACAGTCAATAGCTCTGGCCATGTGATGACCATCCCTAAATACCGTACACTGCGAAACATGAACAATACACATGTTCACTTGAAATGTTTGTCTTTTTGTCCATACAGTTAGCCTTTCCGAAACAGACCTGGCTGTCTGATAGTGGCTTAACAAAGTACATTTTTCTTCAGACATTTTTGTGGTTAGGTTTAACATTGACAATCCAAACACATGCCATGTCACTCTTATTTGACCTTGAAACTATCCTTTAAAAATTTAAAAAACCCACTCAAGGATGAACCAACAAGGTGTTATGTCATACTTCTTGGTAATCCAGACGTTTTAAATAAAATCACTGCAGGCATGTTACCACGGCGACTTGAGTGGCTGACACCAGGAGGATGACTAGATGCATGCAAGAGGAGATTATCTCCTTTGTAAATACACAGAGTCCTCCTGACCTCACATGACCTCTACCTTTAGGTGGGGTCATTTATGTACTGTGACCTGTAGTGGTGATGACTGTGAAACAAGATGGTGGACAAGGAGATCAACCGAAGTATGTGATGGGATGTGGATGTCGGGGATAACATGATGCTGCCATGGCTGACATTTAATTCCATTTGCTGATTATTGAAAGACAAATGCTTACATTATTATTTGTTTTTAATAAAGAAACTTTCCTAAAATATACATATTATTTTTTACCTTTATTTAAATCTCTGGTATTCCTTAATAGGTGTAATATGTTATTAGAAAAATAGTTTATAACTGACGCAGATAAGATTTTTTTCAACATTCTCTTTTCAGTTTCCTTGAAAGTTTAAAAAGAAACCATTTTAGAAAATGCAAAAAAAAATTGATGAAATGGCAAAAAATGACCTTTTTTGACAACTTTAAGTGTGATGTTGATCCAGTTCTATAAACTCACAAAAACTACACATAGTGAAATATTGTATCAATATTAATGTTAAAACCTGAACATCGTAAGGGCTTCTTCATCTGTGAGTTCATTGTCCATCACTACTCTAGAGGAACAAGTCCCCCCTGTTCTCAATAACTGTCATAAAATGAGACTTTTATAGAAAGTGTTAAGTGACATTATCTCTGTTAAGCACCTTGTATATTTTATAGAATATCAATAACAATGAAGTACAGAACCAGATGTGTACAGACCAAGTTAGAGCAATAACTGACCGTCCCGTAGAGTAACCTTACAAAACTGATACTTTCATGAATGAACTGAGACGAGTTAAATATTTGTTATTCAACAGGAAAAGACAAACCTTCTATTTCTTATATATCATTCGGTTGTTTGTATTTTCACTTTTGAGAAATACTGATCTCACATTTCCAGATAAATATAGCATTTCCATAACTAAATGAAACTAAAAGTGAATATTGTCATCAGCAGCACATTAACAAAACACTATTTTGCTTTTCTACCATTCTTACCGCATATTACCATAGATACGCTGGATTTTTGAAGACCCACAAAAGCAGCCTGTAGAAGGGGGTCGGTAAGTTTTGAATAATTTTTCAGAGACTGCAGTGACCATAAAACAGGGGAAAATTGAAACAGCTGTTTATGTCTTTTAAGTTGTTTTCATCAAAGATTCACTTTTATTCACAATTACAATAATTAAAAATTGGCCTAAAGTCTTGGTGGTCACAATACACTGGGCAAGACGCTTTCCTTAGGCACACCAGAAACACATGCTAGTGGATCCGACCCCCAGATTGGCCTGCTGTTAATACTGTGTCGGCACCATACCTGTACATTTGGGTTTCACAAAAGTTAAAATCTAATACCTGTATCACCACAGACTTTCTTGCCACGTGATGAGAAATAAATGAAGTACTATTGAAAACAGTGAAAAACAGAACTAATGCTCAACATAGAATTATATCATAACAAAAATATACCTAAGTTAGATACTAATTGTCACCATATAGGCAGACATATCTGTTGGAAGTAATATTATATAATATAAGTTATTGTGAAACACAATGTGCATTGTTTCCTGACTGGCAGTGATGAGTTGATGTTTCATTCTGACATCCTTATCTGTGTATTTTATGAATACCCAGACTGTCTGTTTAACAATTCCATGTAAGTACATACTATATAGTCCCCTCAGGCAGGGGGATTTAGTATTTGCCATGATTTATACCCTGGCATGAAGTATAATATGTTGTAGGTGGAATAGTATCTTCAGCCCCATGCTAGTTTCCTGACAATAGATTAACAGTGAAATATGGGCTTATAACACAAACTTATGGCTGTAAAGGTGAAGTAATTTAAGATACAAGACTTGTGGGTAGAATGAAAGATAAGACAGGGAATTGTGTTTAAATCATCACAAAGAGGTGTTAAGGTGTATTTACAGTTTTGTACCAGTATCACAAGAGGAGGCTTCCACTGACTTTCTGACAATTAACTTAAGTACTGTATTGGTTCAAAGTGATATGTTGTGACATGACTGTCTTGATACCTGCTAAGAGGTGACTTTCACACAACTTGTGACAGTAACATCATGATAATTTGATATTGTGCCTAACATCCAACTTTTAGCTGAGTGGAGCTAATGCATCTAGTTATGTACAGTTTTGGTAAAATGTAGACACATAGACAAACAGTTACATAGAAAAAACAATAATATTATTTCCGTCATTTATAGCATGTCAGTTCATTGCAGAATGAAAGCAGGATGTGATGCAGTCTAAGATGTTTGCCACCATAGTGAAACGATGGTTTTAGAGGTGAAAAAAAGAAGTTATCTGGATTTTTCAACAATCAGTTGATTGACTTCATCTAACAGACTACTCCCTCTCAAGATGAGCATGGAGGTAAGAAACAACTAAGCGTAATCTCCTATTGCGGTGGAGGATTGTAGTTTACTGTTTCCAGTTATATATA